CCTCGCTCGGTAAAGCTGAAATGGAGAAGGATGCGGGGAAGAAGAAAACGGAACTCGCTATGCTTTAACATGTGACTTCCGTTTTCTTGTTCCCTGCATTCTTCTGCATTTCAGCTTTACCGGAATGCTCTACTGTTACAAGACAAATACGTTTAGACACTTAAATAGAAATTTCGGCGTATGGCTATTGCTCCGCCAGGTTACTCCTAATAGTTAGGCGACTATGCGCAATTCTCACGTTGGAGTAGAGTATTCCGTTGGCAGATTTGAAGAAGACTCATGGGAAGAACAAAAGCCTACTGCGCATGAGCGGGCTGAAGTGGGGGCTGGCTGGGGGCGGCAGAAGGCCCGGCGTGGCGCCCGCACCATAGGCCGCTCATGCGCAGTAGGCTTTTGTTCTTGCCAAGACTGTTCTCTAATCCTACAGCCAGAATAGACTATAAGATCAAATTATTCGTTATATCAAAATTGAATGGTGTGGTTTTAAATGTTTTAAGAGTTTGATTTTATTTAAATTTCCACAGTCAGAACCCTCTATAGACCATTCGTCCATAGACCAGTGTATGTGACATAGCGCATAGTGTATGTGGTAAGCGGTGACATAAAGGAGACGGAAAACCAAACCGCAAACAGATTTGCAAATCGTTGTTCCCGGACAAGGCGCTGGTGCGCTGGTCCTGCCGTGCTTGCGATTCGGCTCGTTTCCGGTTTGGTTCTCCTTTCCTTCCCCACACGGCTTCACTGGACATACAGTAGCCACTCGCTTAGCCGCGCCGCACGGTTCTCCTCTTTAGGCCGGCGCGGCTATGAGAGGGACCCCCATCTCCGCTAAATGGGGTATTTAGCTTCAAAGCTGTTAAACAGTAATCAGAGATCAGTCAGAATCCACGCCAGCAGTGTATGGCGGTGAGCAGTGGTGTCAGGGTAGCAGAGCTTAGCGCGGCTATGCGAGTGGCCACTGTAGACTGAAGATGTCTATTTCCGAAGGTGCAACAATAACCCACCATACCTTCGCGCAGTCATTTTATCTTACCGTTTCGAGATGGCAAGGGTCGCTTTTCATAAAATCCTCCCCAAATACGATGCGCACCACACCTGGCATGTGGTGACGACTGACAGAGCAACCTGACGTCGGAAAGTTAAATATGAACGCATTCTCTTTCCAGCCGTTGATTGACCATGAGTCCAGACGCACTCGTACCTTAAAAAGATGCGTACATTTTGTGAGGTAACCGAACAGAATTGCCTAGTGCGTCGAAGCCCTATACATGATTTACATTTCGTACTCTTCAAAATATCTTGTCCAGAGCCCACTTAGCTCAAAGCGCTTCACTAAAAGCTGTAGAGTACTGGGCGCATGACATTACATAGGCATTTAGCATGTCGACGTTTGATGCTGGAGGATATGTAGTTAGCGATAAGAAGGGTCGAAAAGGAGGGTCGGCGCAAACCGCCGCGTACGCTTGTTTGAGCTCGCTCCTGTCCACATTTCAGGCGTTAATAGTTCATAGCGAACATGAACGGATGCTTAAGTGTCGAAAAATCGGACAGGAGCGAGCTCAAACAAGCGTACGCGGCGGTTTGCGCCGACCCTCCTTTTCGCCGGACCCTCCTTTTCGACCCTACTTATCGCTAACTACATATCCTCCTGGCCACACCAAAACGCACCCCTCTCCCTACCAACAAAGATTCGCCACTAAACGCCAGATTGACGTATTAGTGATGCGAAATTGACGTTTTTGGGGTCCAAAAACACGTCATAGTGACGCGAATTTTCATAATTTTGACGTTTTGTGACCAATTTCTGTGACTTGAAAATAGGAAATGAATATTAGCATCATTAAATAGTTGCAAATGCTGGTTTGTACAGAACAAGCTTGCTGAAAATCATAGCCATTGTGTCGTACTAAAATGAACTGGGTGTAGCTCGTAGTGCTCCATGGGAGGCTCTCGGGAATTTTCCTTAGTATCTGCGAGTACCAATACATCACGTAGGAGATACAAATAGTAATTCTTTAGATACCTTATACCGAATGATTGGGAAACATTTGAGGTCTAAGGAAGTTTTCCCTTTTCTCGACCTTTTCTGGGATATAATTAAAGCAATGGGTATAACAGGTGTTCAGGCTCCTATATCCTGCAAGTTAACGTTCTGAATTTATTGTTGGGGGTACTTCCTATCCCGTTTTGTAATTTCAGCCCCCTTTTTACAACTTAATGAGTTTTACGTTTCCTTGTCAAAAATAACCAACTAGTGCCTTAACCGTTAAAGATAATAACACAAACCATATTTATTGAACGTTCTGCTTCACGCAGTAGTGAGTCCCCCGGTGACGGCACTGCCTATGCCGAAGCGCGCCAGAGGTGGCACCAGATCCCGTAGAAATAAGTCGGTTCGCCCGGCCGCCACCGCAGCGCGGCGATCGGCCGTGGGACACCCCCTCCCTTCCCCTCCGCTGTCCCCATTAACTCATGTATCCCCGGCAACCTGGACCCGGGGCTGGGCACAGGAAAGGGGACATCGGAGGGAAAGAGAGGGGGTGTCCCACGGTCGATCGCTGCGCTGCGGTGGCTATCGCGCGAACCAACTTATTGCTACGGGATCTGGTGCCTCTTTGCGCGCCTCAGTGCCACCACCGGGAGGCTTACTGCATCGTGGTCGGGTTACACCCGGTCACACTTGAAGGCAGCATGACACACCTTCAAAGTTGCATATTGCCTCTCAAAAATGTCAGTGTAATTTTCTTACAAAGAACTGCTCTTTTTAACGTACAAACAATCTGGTAACTTCGAAATGCAAAGAAATCCTTCGTATTACGAATGGCTTGGGTTTGTAATACGAAGAGCACGGGTCTGTTCATAAACTGGTGCTCTGTGTTGGTTGAGCGAATAGCGAAGCCTATTACTCCAGTGATGACCAAAAATTTTCGCGTCTGTGTGTGTCTGTCATAACGATAACTCGAAGGGTTGGAGCTAGGGACGTAAATATTCTACTGTAGCTTTGTATCATAAAAAGAGAGAGCTGTGTTGATTTTGAGTCCCCTAGTTCAAAAATTGATGTCCTAAAAATGGAAAAGCAAATGCCGGTCTTATGAAAAATATTTCTGTTCCTTCGAGGTAACTCGTATAAGTAGAATCCAAGGCCTACAGTTTTGACTGCTGCGCTCGATCTCTAACCGTTCAAGCGCCAGAGGACGTTTTCCACCCGGAAATGACCCCAAAACATTTTTGTTTATTCTCAGGTATTTGGTGCTGTCCGGTAGGGTAACTAATCAAAATAAAACCTCAGGCAAAATTTGTGACTGTAGGGGCCGAAGGCCTATTAAACGACTGTGCCTTTTGGTCCACTGGGGTGTCAGCGCCGCAGACTTAGGTAGATGTAGTCCAGGCGCGTCGCAGCGTAACAGTGTCTCCGTTGAGACATCGCGAAGCCTGTTACGTGAGACGCGATCTGACGTACATCTATCCGGTAGTAACGCTGGTTGTGGAGTAATAGGCTTCGCTTTCGCTTATAGAGAAATATAGTTTTTCACATTGAAATACATACCCAATATTCATCGTTAAACTTTGTTGTTTTCTTCATAGTAACGTTGCCGTACAGCTTTTGAAGTCTAAATGGATTGGATTTGTCGAAAGGTGTGAGAGCCACGAACAAGGTGCTCTCGTGGGTAGACTCATCATCAGCGCATTGAGAGACGGATTCCGAGTACGCAATATATGGTCCCTGAGGGCAAAAACGATTGAGGAACCAAGAGTGCTCATACTCATTGCTAAGAATGTTTATCACAGGAACCATTGCACACGCTGAAGATGTATTCTATGCTTGTGTAGAAGCACTCGTCGAAAGTCGAGAAGGTCGACAGTCCAACGTTTATGACAGTACAAGTGTGCACAATTGTTCGCCAGGCTCACTGTACTGATCGTGGGTTACAAAACACTATCACGATTTTCAGCAGCGATGACCCCGGTTTTTCTCTCTGCAATGCCGAGGGAAACACACGGCAGGCCTATTTTTAAAGCTCCGTAACATATTAGAACATAAACGGATATTAGTCACTCAACGTTGCAAAAACTACATGGTAAGGTGTAAGCGTGTAAAAGTTACAAATGCTAAAATGCAAGGGATATTAATCGTGAAAAACTGACGAAAAGATGGACTTATTACAATTCTTTCCTAAAGGCCCCAGTTCAAGTGACGTGTTTCAACTTTTAACTTCAACATGGATGAAAAGAATTTGTTTTCGCCATATAACGATTTGGTTAACATAGACATAACAAACAATAAAGGTGCGTAGAAAAATTTGATATGATAAGCAAAATTCTGCTGCTAGAACAAACTCGTCGCTTTAGTAACATGCAACTGCCTCATTGTTTATTGAATGAGGATTTCTTCTTACAACAAACACATTAGTTGTCCTAGCGACGTGTAAGTTCTCGTGGTAGCAAAATCACGGTCCCCATAGCAAATTGTTCGCTGCTGCATCTCAAATTTATCTGTTATATCTATGTTACCAAATCGTTGGTTTCTCTTTTTCTGTAAAACAGCGTTTGAAAAAGTTACGTAAAGAGTCTGACTCTTCTCGCGCACCCGTGTCGGTAATGAGGGTAGGTACTTGAATAGCAGCACTACCGACTTCAGCTTTGTACCGGTGACAATGACAAAATTAAATCTAAATCTGTGCGGGTCTGAGGGTACCGCCGCCCGCCACACCAAGCAGGGCCCCGCACCCTCCAGCGTTGATTCAGGAGGCTCTTACTGCAAATGGCGAAGCCAGGCACCCGGATAGGATTTTTGACCACATGAGATAGATAGCGAGCGCGCTGGCGGGCGCCAGGAGCGCCATGGTGGGCGAGCGTGCGGGCCACACAGACTGCAGAGAACTCGATACAGCGCACAACGTGTGTCGCGTGTTGCGAATAGAAAAGCACGCAAGCGGAGCATTTGAAAAATGAAAACGTTTTTGTTACGTTTCGGATACTTTGTGACAAGATAGGCCCGCAGTGTGAAATGAGCTGTGTAGGGCTCCCACGGGATACAATCAAAGCACATGTGCACAGACTAGCAGAGAAAGACTGTCGGCCGCGCTGGCAAAGCAATCGCTTCGCCTAAAATATGGTTCACTTTGTCTCAGGGTTATACTTTTAATACACTTACATGTCGTTTTCTGATTTTTTGAGTACTTTGCGCTGCCAGTTTTCTTGTTCTTTTAAAAACCTTTATGAGCTAGAACTAAAAACTTTTTTCGTTAGTTAGTTGGCGGATCAAATGTGAATCGGCTGCTATCTATTTGTATTAGATATTGGCCACATATCCGGTATCGTATCACCCTGAAATCTGACTAGACTTATATTCCAATGCAGATCAACATCTTCTTGGTCTAAAGGTCCGACATAACGGTCCATATATTTGCCTTCGAATATATACACACATATATGTATACAAATACACACACACACACACATGTATATATATAAATAGTATTGTCCACGATTCAATCATTTTATTGCTTTGTGCAGATTATTCAGTTTAACGCCATAAATTAATCATTGCATTGTTTTTAACATATTTCGGACAAATGAGTTAATTTCAGGATTCGCTAAGTTCGTAAGAACGCTGGGGAAGTACTTTTGCCCGCAGTCTCCCCAGGAAACGATACCGTACTGGAGTGTGCCAACGTAAGCTGGGCCACCGGAATCTCCCTGCAACAAATGATATCGCATATTACTGTTTATTTGTTGACAAAGGTCGGGCTCCCGGTCCCGGCTAAGTGTTGTAATTGTGCTAAGTTTTCTTTTAAAATCAGCTGTAAGCTTAATGTAGGGGCTTAAAATGTGTTACCAGCGGGTCAGCCCTGTTCTCTGTGACATACACTTTATGTCAATTTCCGCTGGGCTTTGTGGCGGAAAGGCAAGTGAACTTGTGGAACCAGTTGTGTCAAAAGTGCAAGAAACAACTCACATAAAGGTTTACTGTGTACCATTATAGAATGCAATCTAAAAAAAATCATCACTTTGACCTTCAAAATGGGACGAGCTACTGGTACACACCCTTCAGAAAACAATATATGGAATGATAGCGAACTTACGCTGCAAAATGCCGAGTTTGGAAAAGAGGTTGTACAGATTTCTTGCTCTGTAAACGTGGACCCAAGTTTGTTCGAACATATGGTGCGGCTCAGAGCAGTGTATACTCCTCTCCTCAGCTGCTTGGAACTGCTGTCACTGTTGGTCTGAAGATTAAGGAACATTACGGCTTCTGCACGCTACACTTACAATTTAAAGGATGAGTTATGTTGTCCCTCAGATGATAAAGTCTGTGTTCATCCAGACCGGATAAAATTTTTGTCCTCAAACTAAACAAGTTTTGGAGGACATTTAACTAAGTTTCAGATACAAAATTTGTATCCCGCCCGGATGTAACAAAAACAGTGTCGTTTCATGGACGAAATTTTTACCTTTCATTTATTGTGTAGTATCAGTTTATTGTATTAAAATTAATGTAGTAGAACAGTTAAAACAAACTCAACCGAAAAACTAAGAGGTTGCATTATACTCTATAACTAACTTTGTCCCTGAAACTAGAAACAAATAGGGCATTTCACCCAGTTCAAACCGGATCCAAAGAAGGACAGTGATGCTACATGATCTGTTTCCTACCTGACGCTCATTGGCTCACGCTAATGAAGTTCGCGAAACCCGCGACTAGGTTGGTGACTGCCCTATTGACGGGTCCGAGAACTTCGTCGGCGTAGGCCAATGAGCGTCAGGAAGGAAAAAGTTTATGTAGCATTACTCGTCTTCTTTGGATCCGGTTTAAACTGGATGAAATACCCTAATTTCGGTCCATAGTGTCGGAGGTCTAGGTTCAAAATCACAAAAATTTTAAACAATAAATGTGACAAATGTTGCTCACAAAATTGTTCCCTCGTCGTAAACAAATTAGTTATGCGCAATGGTCACGAAAGATTGCAAGTGCAACCTAAATAAAAATATAAACGAGCACATATATGCTCGTTTGATCATAAATTGAATACAAGGAATCTAGCGAAGCCATCGACAGTTCAATTTGAGAGCTTGATAAGATATTATTCGAGGGGTAGATAACTCGCCTGCCAAATGTACACCTCCAATTCTGCCCAATTCAAACTAATTCAGACCAATTCAATCTAATTCAAACTACTTCAAAAGTAATTCAACTAATTCAGTCCAATTCAAGCCAATTTACATTCAATTCAAGTCAATTCAAGCCAATTCTCTCTAATTCAGTAGAATAAAATAACAATAATTCAAACCAATTCAAAAATAATTCAACCAATTCAGTCCAATTCAAATTCAATTCAAGCTAATTCAAATTCAATTTTTGAAATTGGTAGGCCTACACCTAATTCAGGAGGTATCCACCCCTCGATATTATTCCACAAAAATTGAAATGTCATCATCTAATGATAAAGAAGCGCCATTATAGCACAATATCAGGGATAGCAATACTTGCCTTGTATATTCCCCATCCCGCGATTGTAAGAGGTGTACCAGGTTTGGGAGGTGCGTTCACTTTGGTTATAGATATGACACCAGTTTTAGCACCTAGGGGTACGGCTGACCTGAGTTTTATTACCGCAACATCATAATTTGCATAGCTACTCCCATTCTTTAGGTAAACAGCGTGGTATTTCGGGTGGACCCTTATGTCCTTTACACCGTAAGCACTTCCACGTTTGCCTGTCTTCATGAAATCGGACGAACCAGCAAAAACCACAGTCTCCGTCGGTTTCCTAGAATTAAATCAACACTTGTACCAATACACGTATTCTTGAGTCAAGATTCAGTAATTGGCGTAAAAGGAATAACAGCCTAGTCGTGACTGTAAAACGTACTAACCCTGCACAGTGCCCCGCCGTTAAAACGTGAGTGGTTGATATCAGAGACCCTCCACACGATGAAATCTCAACATTTTTGTCTGATTCGTAATTGTAGGTAATAACTTGTGCCTGTGGGACATAGTCTTTTACGTTAAGTTTACTGCTTGTTATTTAAACACTGTAACGCCACATTCAACGCCAAGTGAGTTGTGTCTTGTGTCACAGTGCTTGGAATATCATGTCACTTTCGTTAGAACGTGACATGGTAATGCATTGCTCTGCTCTCAGTGCTCTCACGGGTTAAGTGCACAGTAGATGTTCGTTTCGTCACTATGCAACCTATGTGACGCTTTCATCCCGACTTATTTACTTCTTACGTTAACATGTTAATGTCTATATAATATGGAACGAATCGACGCGTCCAATTAACGTCTGATCTCGCAGTAACTCTAACGTTGTCCGATCTCCCAGCGATGCTCTAACGTCGTCCGATCTCCTTTTGGCGCTCACTCCGCAACGCTAGCTTCTTTAATTTACAAGAAAAATAATAGCAGTAGAAGAAAGGTGAAAATTGCTGTGCGTATCTTGATCTCTTAGGAGCGAGTGAGCGTCAAAAGGAGAACGGACGACGTTAGAGCATCGCTGGGAGTCCGGACGACGTTAATAGGACCCGTCGGTATGCCTCAGTTTAACCTTTGAAATTTTGCAGTATTTGAAGTTGAGAACTGGGAAGGGTGTACAAGTATGTTTATTGCTTAGCTTGCGAAGCGAGTGAAGCCTAGGGGCAAGCTACTAATAAAAAGAAGGAGTTAACCCCGAGGTGGGCTCTACGGACTCAATGCCCGGAGCCCAGCCACGGGGTAGATCTGAAAAAAATTACGAGTCGTGTTTCTAAAATTGCTGATCGCCTGGCACGCTTAGGATAGCGTGATAGTTGTGAGGTAAGCGGTTGTCGGGATGGCACTAGGAGGTTAGCGGTTTTAGATAAGTGGTATCGAATTGTGCGTAAATACGTCAGAATTCGTCTACACCGACATCACTAACGGGGATTTTATCGCCCAAGAAGTGTTTCCGACAGCTTTGTCAATAAAAATAGAATTCTGATCCACTGTCGTCGTAGAGATGGAATGTGGGGGGTCTTATTCTTATTAAAAGGAATGGCTCAACACAAATAACTTCTGTAAATAAAAAATTATACTTTTGAAATGCTATTATTTCTTGGAAAGCGACTTATTCCTGTGTTGTCTTTAATGAACTGAAGCAAACAAGCTATCATCCAAACCAGTGTTTTTTAACATGTACATTCTCAGAGAAATCCAGCGCGTTAACTTTGAGGGTGAGGCATCATATTAAAAAAAAGAAGTATACACTTCAGACATGTTTAAATTTTAGTTTATGGCATTCTAATACTACTATCGGAAGCTATTTCCCCTTAACTTACAATCAATTTCTAACCATAGGGTCTAAGAATCTATCTTTATTGACTACGGCACCTAAAATGCTTTGAGGCGATAAAAAAACCCGTGAAGTACTTCAGCGTGTAAGCTAAACTTAAGGCGAATCTGCTATGGAAGGCCTCCAACTCTCTTACCATGAATTTGGCATCATCCACATGCGTTACTGTTCCGCCGATGATCTTTTCGTCTAATAACCCATCAAGGGCAAATGTTTCTAAAACTGATCATTACCAGGTCAGATTATAAGTCAACACGTTTTTAAGGACTAAAACAGCAGTTGTATTTGGATCAATTTACCTGCCGTAGCGCAAACAATGGAGATGGGCAACCAAGCCATGTTCTGCCGAGTCGCTGAGCCAGGTCGCAGTGCACGGGATACAGCACTGTAGCCCGCAGTAGTTGCTAGCTTCACAAGCCGTAAACCAAGCACTCGATCGTGGTGCATGTGACCCTTCGTGAGTACCCATTGGATAAACAGCATAACTACGTAATCGTGCCAGTGGCGTTAACAACTCATGGTGTGCAATTACGAGTTGTGGGGCTGTGTCCCCCAAACTTTCAGACAGCATTTTTTCGGTTCTTGCAGGCGCCAGTACGCAGGTATACACACACTGGCTGGGAATAGAAAATTTCGTACATGTCGTATGTACACCTAGGAACATGATTTATAGTTTAAGTACTTTTGTAATAGAAGTGACGATAGGTTTACTTTTCCTTCTAGAGCCGACCACTTTGGGTCTACTAGACAAAACAAAATCATCGTCTTGGTCCGAAATACGTATGAACCAATTTTGGATCAATATCGCATTTTACTCAAACTGACATATTTTTAAAATAAAAAGTGCAGATATGAACTCAAAGAAATTGCGTTTTGTTGAGGCAGAACAATAAGTTTTACGAGTCCTTTCTATAGGCCTGTTCCAAAACCCGCGTGCTTTGATAATGGGAGGAAATACGAAAATCTGGTCAGAAATAGGTTCAATCGCTCTTCTATTTTCTTTAATTAATGTGTTGGATTTAGTTAGTGAGTACGAGCAGATGGCAATAATATGCTAAAAACTATACTCAGCAAGTCTGAGAGTGCATAGTTTATAATACACGCACAAGCAGGGCGCACTAACGTGTAACAACGTACTTTTCCTGCGGAAAGGGCTTTTACACCGCCTCGCTCGATCGAACATCGATGCTACTCCAGACTAAGATCATTTTTTATTTTTATTTTGCAATTTTGGATGGCTGGAGTCGGCTGGTAGAGGGAGCAAGAGAGAGAAAGTGAAACAGCATTTGGCGGTATCGGGGGGTGCATAACCCCATAAAAATGAGTACAAGGGATGACCAAATAGTAAAGATTACGAATACCAAAGAATATGGTATGATTTGCCTGCATTATAAATCTTATTGACCATTAGTTGTCCCGAGATGCATTTCTGTGCCCATGGAAGGGATGCTAATTCGCATTATTATTCGCATGCCCGTTTTTATTTAGGCAAAATGGGCTCAAAAATTCATATCGCCATCAATAAATTTGTCCTTTTGAAGGGACCCTCAAGAGTGTGTGGATTACCAGGGATAAACAAGTCTGCGTTCACCTGATAACCACAGTCGGGCACCCGTCGGGTGGTATTGATCGGGTCGGAGTGAGACATAACTAATCTCAAAAGCTTAGCGGGCTAAAGCAAGCTGAGCACCCCATAAGTTTCATTGCTGCTGCGTTGCAGTCGTTTTACTACAGACGACCTTACCAGAACGTCTAGTATCGCTGTCCTCCGAGCACGTTAACGACAGAGTAAAACTGGCGCAGAACTTTACCCGCGGAGCTCAGGCTGAGTTGCCCTAGGCCCCTGCACCTCAAGGCAGGCGCCCTGCTCGCTGTCAGCATGACCAGGATGAGGGCGCGCTCCTCTGGCAGGCTTACGCTGTCGCTTGAAGCTACGTGGTAGGCAGCCGTATGCAGTGACAGGCTAGCATCCGACAGCTCTTGGCTGAGGTAGGAAAGCTGGATGAAGACCACTAGCACGCGAAGTATTTGAGTGTAAGTCGTAGTAGTTAAGTCATTTGATAACACCTGCGTACAGTAATGACATCTTTCATATTTAGAGTGGTCAAGGGTAGCTCACAGAACCCACAACAGTTTACTTTTAAGCCGCTCCGAATGAGCGTAAGGGTGAGTCGGTGAGTTGCTTGCTCAATCTCATTTGCAAAAGAACTTCTTTTGAATCTCAGGAGTTTTGGTCAAACTATAGGTTTTCATGAAATTTTCCTCAGTTGGACTAGGAGCTTAAATACTTAACAGTGTTCAACGGCAAATTTGAACACTTGAAAGTGCCCACACTTTCATGGCAACCCCAAGATGAACACTTCATAGTGTTCAACTTTACCGTGAAACACTTTTCAGTTTTTAAATATTCAGTCAAAGACTAAAAAGTGTGTAACGTGGTGTTGAACACGAGGATGTGCACGCCTGTTGCACACTTCATGAATCAGTGTCATAATTCAAATCTAAACCATTCGACAGAAATTTTGTAATCTGTTATAATACCCTGGTGTGGCTCATGAATAAAATTGGCCGGCATTCGTAACCTCCACATAAAAGAAGCAAATTTACTGACTTCGGGCAGAGTCGGGAAAAGGTCACTTGCCGACTCCTTTCCAGTGCACCGTTGCTTGGCTGAACTTTTCTCATTACCTACCTGGAGGGTAGCGAAAAGTGAGTGGCAGAACGAGCTGGCCATGACAGGTGCCAGTTGTCCCGCGAAAAAATCGGTCAGGTCCATGACAAGGTGGCGAAGTCGCTGGTGTCTGATTACCGCGTCCCTTAGGACCTCTGAGCTCGCTGTGGAGGTGAGGCGCTGTGCGAGGGCGTGGTGTAGGCCGGTCGCTGTAGAGGTGGCGCAGCCCAGCGCTATCACAAGGTAGTTGATGGACAGGAGGATGGTGCAGAGCGCACAGCCCCAGAACAGGCGAGCGAGGGGGAAGCCCAAGGGGCCCGCGTACGGCACGAACGGCCACAGCGGGAGCAGAGAGTCGTCGGAGCGGAACGAGTGCGCGAGAACGTTCACTGCTGTCACCATGGCCAAAGCCATGGTCTCGAGGGAGAATGCAACGATGCGCTGCCTCGTGCGGGCCACCCAAACCTGTGCCATTTAACGGCTTCAGACAAGGTTCCGGGCCCAGCAAGCACGCCTGCCCCTCCGCCGAACGAAGTTGACCCGCAACTCCGTTCGGAAGGGGTCGGGGCTGGCCGAGGGCCTGGCGGTGGGCTACTCCTATTCACCTCTTCACACACGTCTGCCTCCATGACTTCGACTAGTCGTTTCAATTCCTGCAGGATAGTCCAGAAGCGTACGTCACGGAATATGGAGAGACACACGAACCCTGAGTAGCAAGAACTTAGGGTTGTGATGGGCATCATGGCTGCCTGTACGGATGTGGACTTCCGGACGGCGATGGTGGCCGCAATCAGAACGCACGCACCCATGTACAGAGCTGTGGTCTGAAAGCAAAGAACTACATAAAGGGACTCGGTTCACTGGCTGATCTGCACCTCCGGGCTGCTCAACGCACGCAGCTCCTATACGACGAGCCATTGCTGGGCACATAGCGGAGACTGTCGTTACGCATTAGTTCACGGTGATCACGGAGGATTGAATGCGAAAAGAGCTGTACTTATTGGCTGAGCGATAAGCGAAGCCCATTACTCCACTGGCCGAAAAGTTTCATTCTGTTTGTTTGTTCATTTGTCTGTCTGTGTCTGTCCGCACGATAACACAAGAAAGAATTGAGAGAGAGATCTGGGAATTTCAGGGTCGTTTTGTATCATAAAAAGACAGATCGAGTTCGAAGATGAGCATTCTGGCTCAAAAGTTGAATAATTTTTTTCTCAAATATTTTTTTATGGGCTTCTACGGGCTAACTCGTGAAAGTAGAACCCCCCCCCCCACCTCTGGGCAAAATTTCGTCCGTTTTGCTCTTTCATGTACAGTTTGGGTGCTAGGAAGCATTTCTTGACAAAAATGAGGTGAAAATGACCAAATGGTCTATTACATCGTGAAAAGACACTTTATCTGGAAAAATTGTACATTTACTCATATAGGGTATTCCAATGGAGCGCGGAGTAGAAGCAAGAACAAAAACGGAACGTGGAAAGCTGCCCGCACTCCTCCCCGCCTGCCCCCCACTCCTCCCCGGGCGCTCCGTCTAGTAGAGGACAGGGGGATGGCGCGGGCGCCTTTCCACGTTCCGTTTTTGTTCTTCTTGCTTCTGCTCTGCGCTCCATTGGAATACCCTATAAACCCGTTTCGGTTGTCAGCGCCACAGGCCTAGCTATATGTGCGCCAGGCGCGTCGCAGCGTAACAGTGTTCGTGAGAAATCGCGAAGCCTGTTACGCAAGACGTGGTCTGGCGTACATATAGCTAGTGTACTCATACTCATCTACTCACTAATTGAACGAGTGTCAGATGACAAGATAAGTGCTCCGGAGTAAATATGTGTACATACATACAGTGTACAGGCATGATAAGAACATAGTACCGAGCTCGGATCAGATTTTTCTATTTCCTCCCTATATCTATGTTCTTCGTTAACATAACGCAGGTAACTAAGCATTCCGGTAAAGCTAAATTGCAGAAGAATGCGAGGAAGAAGAAAACCGAAATCACTATGCTTCTACATGTTTTCCGTTTTCTTGTTCCCTGCATTCTTCTGCATAGCGTTGTCGGATCGAAACGTCCTCTCGAATATCGAAAATCGAATTGTGATCGAAAGGCGTATTCGAAAAGGTTTCGATATTCGAAATCGGTATTCGGACATGTTCGAATAATTCGACATTTTACCAAAAATACTTAAAATACACCAAAAAGGTTATAAAAAAACAGGGTGGAAAAAGGCACAACTCTTTTTTGGCTGAGCGATTAGCGAAGCCTATTACTCCGTCTGATCGGAAAAAACTTTTTCTGTGTCTGTCTGCTAGAGAGGATAGCTATCCTCTCTAGCTGTCTGTGTATAGACCATTTCACCCCAGCGCTTTTCGACCTCTCGAAGAACAAAAATACCGGAAGTCAGACAGTATATGAAACGTTCCTAGCCGTTAAACACGTTTGAATGAAGCGGTGTGTGCCGTAAGAATATATTTTTGACTAAATTTAGGTCGGAGAAGAGAAGATTGTCGGTTGCATTGACGACAAACCTCTATTTCGTGAGACACTTTACCCTGACTTCCGGTATTTTTGTTCTTCGAGAGGTCGAAAAGCGCTCGGGTGAAATGGTCTGTGTATCTGTCCGCACGAAAACTCGAAAACGAATTGAGCGAGCGACCTGTGATTTTCAGTGTCGTTTTGTACCATCTTAAGACAGGTCAAGTTCGAAGATGAGCATTCTAGCTCAAAAATTGGACTTTTAAAAAATCAAAAACAACGGGTCCCAAAAATGACATTTTTTGAAAATATTTTTATGATGGCTTCTTAGAAGGTAACTCATCCAAGTAGAGCCCTACGGGCGAAAATTTCGTCCGTTTTGGTCTAGCTCAAACCGTTGAGGCGCTAGAGGGTACTTGTGACGAAAATAAGCGAAAAAATGTACAACCATGCATGCTTAGTCTAAGTAATGGGGTTGACGGGCCGGAGGCCCGTATCTTTGAGTACATTTTTGCTCTACCCGACTCGGGTGTCAGCGCCGCAGGCCAAGGTAGATGTATGCCAGGCGCGTCGCAGCGTAACAGTGTTTCGTGAGATATCGCGAAGCCTGTTACGCGAGACGTGGTCTGGCGTACATCTACCTTGTTATACATAAGATAGGAACAGTCATCAGTCATTATTAAGAAAGGAACAGTAACAATGTAAAAAGTAAACTTTGTAATTATTACAGATCGAGGGAGGCCGCGGCGGCGGGAGCGGAGGCGGGGAGGGGACTCGCTTTCAACCACGACTAACATCCCGTCGAGACGGCACACTGGTCACTTCGCCCTCTGGTACACATCGTACAGTTTCTCTTGCGCAGTAATAAGTCAACTTTACACCAGTTCCAGAAATTTTCGAATATTCGAAACCGGTATTCGAAATTTCTAACAATTCGAAAGCTAAAGGTCGATCACGAATAGTCGACTATTCGAAAGCGATTGTTCGAATAAGCTATTTCAGCATTACCGGAATTCTTTATTAGTTTCCATAAGTGCATTTGTTTCGGAAAGTTTGAGTGAAAGGTGATTCTGATCCGAAACAGTGACACATGAACTAATAAACGTTTTTCGGATCAGCCTCTGATGGAACTTTGTTGGCTGAGCAGTAGCGAAGCCTGTTACTCCGTCTGGTCGGACAAACCCTTTTTTGTCTATCAGTGTGTCAGCACACTAACTCCAGATCAAATTGAGCTAACGACCTGGAATTTTCAGGGTTGGTTTGGACCACTACCTATATGAACGCCAGACAACGTCTCGCGTAACAGGCTTCGCGATATCTCACGAAACACTGTTACGCTGCGACGCGCCTGGCGCACATATAGCTAGGCCTGCGGCACTGACACCCGCGACGAGCAAATGGGAGCGTATAGGGGAACAAGGCCTTCCGGGCCCAAAATTTGACATACTTGAGCCATTTGTCGGGGTCTTATTACTCTAAAATTAGGGACATGAAACTTGTGCTGTTCGAAAACGGTTTTCATCAGAAGTTCGAATTTTGACAGATTGTTATGTAAAAATCAACGTTGTAGTGATACTAGATAATCTAGGAACCCTTTGGCCCAAAAGAAGGTGGAGTTCGACCCTTAATGTGTTGTTCAAGTATTACTCCCTTTACAATAGGGTATTTCACCTGACGCAAACCGGATCCAAAGAAGAACAAGAGCTCTTCCTGAACTCTTTCCTCCCTTGCTCTGATTGGCTTCCGCCGACGAAGTTCATGAACTGGCCGCAAGGGCGGTCGACCCCTAGTGTCGGGTCCGGGAACTTCGTCGGTATCGGCCAATGAGCGCCAAGGAGGAAAGAGTTCAGGAAGAACTCTTGTTCTTCTTTAGATCCGGTCTGCTTCAGGTGAAATACCCTATAAAGCATTCCGGTACAGCTGAAATGCAGAAGAATACGGGGAATAAGAAAACGGAAGTCACCATGTTAAAGCATAGCGATTTCCATTTTCTTCTTCCCCGCATTTTTCTGCATTTCAGCTTTACCGGAATGCTCTATTCTGTGACATGAAGCCTGTTTTACGATTTAATAGGCTATTTCAGAGCTGGACGTGAAGAAGTAAAATAGAACAAAACGGGCACTGCGCACGCGCAGACGCCCCCCACTCCATCTCCTGCCTCCCCCTCTCTGCATCTGCACATGAGCAGTGCGCCTTTTGTTCTTCCATTTTACTTCTTCACGTCCCGCTCTGAAATACCCTATAGAACATTTTGTCGTTTACACGTTTTCGCCAAGAAATGACCCATGGCGCCAAAACGGTACAAGATAGAGCAAAGCGGACGAAATTTTCGTCCATGGTGTTCTACTTTCACGAGTTACCTTTTATGAGCCCATTTAAAAATATTTGAAAAAATAAATATTTTGAAGCCTTTGGTTTTTGATTTTTTATAAAGTCAATTTTTGAGCTAGAATGCTCATCTTCGAACTCGACCTGTCTTTTTATGATACAAAACGACCCTAAAATTCCCAGATCGCTCTCTCAATTCTTCCTCGAGTTATCGTGCGGACAGACAGACAAATAAACAAACAAGCAGAATGAAACTTTTCCGGCCAGTGGAGTAATGGGCTTCGCTAATCGCTCAGCCAATAAAAAAAGATAGTTTCAAGATGAGCTCAAAAATTTTATTATTACTAGCTACATGTACGCCAGACCACGTCTCGCGTAACAGGCTTCGTGATATCTCACGAAACAATGTTACGCTGCGACGCGCCTGGCGCACATATAGCTAGGCCTGCGGCGCTGATACCCGAGACGAGCCATTGGGAGGGTATAGGGGAACAGGGCCTTCCGGGCCCAAAATTTGACATACTCGAGCCATTTGTCGGGGTCTTATTACTCTAAAATTCGGTACATGCATGAAACTTGTGCTATTCGATAACGGTTTTCATTAAAAGTTCAAATTTTGACGGATTATGTAAAAATCAACGTTTTCGTGACACTAGATAATCTAGGGACCCTTAAGCCCAAAAGAGGGCGTGGTTCGACCTTTAATGTGTGGTTTAAGTATTTCTCCGTGTACAATTCTGTGACATAAAGCCTTTTTAACGATTTAATAGACCATTTTGTCTTTTTCACGTTGTTTTCGCCAAGAAATGACCCATAGCGCCACAACGGTACAAGATAGAGCAAAACGGACGAAA